AAGAATGATCATGCTATATGTGTGCTGAAATCGAACACTTGTGCTGAAAATAGACTTGTTATTCATAATGCTAGTGAAGTTAATGAGCTAAAATTGTTGCCTTCTTTAAATACTTTGGGTTACATTAAATTTGATGTTTCATGTAATCTTAGTTCTTTAGAGGAGAAACTTTATGCATATGCTGATTTGCCATGGTTCTCTAGACATACATATCATGTTTTTGGCAAATATAACAACCAAGGACAATATTTGATACAACGAGTTTACATTTGTATAAATCTGAATTCTCCTTTTGTTGTGCAAAGTAATGATCAACTAGAGGACAGTAAAATCAACATTGTTGTTATACCATATTCCTCTAGTTTTGCTTTTCGAACACAAGTGGAATCCAAAGAAAGGAAGCATATGTTTCTTGTTAGTACTAATCTTTTGCAGGATAGTATTGACAAAGATCATGTGTATTTCAATCGAGCAGACTACATGTATGTAGGACAAGACATGCTACAAACCTGGACATGTGGTCATATTCTTTCTCGCAACATTGTCCATTCCTATTATTTTGGAAACCTCGTTTGTCCTCATGTTGTGCATGATCGACTTCAAGCAAAATCGACGTCGAGGACGGCTTTTCATCAAGAAAGGGAGGATGATAAGGACATGAGCTCCATGCATATGACCATGCTTGGAGATAGAGGACGAGGAGATCAGCGAGGGTGTCCTAACCGAGAAGGAGGCCTGAAGCTCATCCGGTTCGAGTCACCAAGGTGGAGGCCCAAATCAAGTTCGAGCCTATCTCGGGTTCTAGGACCAGTCTATCATAAAACTGGTCACACGGGCACGTCGGGCTCTGTTTTTGACGATCCATAGATGGATGGAAAGCTAATTATATAAGGAAGACAATGCAAGTGGTCTCACATCAAAAGCCATTCGGAATCAACGGGAATCGTCGAAATAAGTAAGTGTCCAGAATCTGCCAGGGTGCTACCACACCGTCTTTTGGACCGTTGGGCCATGTATCGTCTTAGAGCCCATTAGGGGGGCGTCCAGGGAGGTGACGTCCAAGGCTCTATAATTAGTAGCCATCACTCTCCTTAGGGTTTGGGTTTTGTTTAGTTCTTAATTTCCTCATGAAACAAGCATCGTTTTGCTGCAACTGTGCCACCAAGGCCGCTTGCTGTGAACCAGGGCCCTAGTTCTTGATCTTGTTCGCCTGTGACGATTAGTCCTTTCGAATAAAGACTTGAACTCCTTCTCGTTATCATAAGCCTCATATTTATTTTGCAATTTTAGATTGTGTTCATCCCGTTCTTGCTTGTGTTCTCGATTCGCTTGCAGGAAAGCCTTCTCGGTGAGGTCAATTGCGTTCGCGTGGTTGATAACCAATGGAACAATGGTGTAATGGTTGTGAGGGTCTAAATCAGTCTTGGTTCAAAGACTAGATCGTGAACATCGAGTCTCCACCAATCGACGCTATTGTACCTATCAGAAGATCGGGCCTTGTCTACATCACTTGCCACAGTAGAATGGCGTGGTGGAGCGACGGAATCAGATGGTGGTCGGCATGGCTCGATCCATGATGAAGGCCAAGGGCATGCCGGCAAGGTTCTGGGGTGAGGTGGTGACCTTGGTGGTGTTCACCCTCAACCGCGCTCCCACCAAGGCCCTGAAGGGCAAGATGCCGTTTGAGGCTTGGCATGGACGCAAGCCAAGCGTGTCTTTCATCCGGACATTCGGTTGCATTGGCCACGTCAGGAAGAAGAAGCCGGTCCTGACTAAGCTGGAGGACAGGAGCACACCGATGGTGTTCCTAGGCTACACGAAGGATACCAAGGCATACCGGCTCTATGACCCACGCGGAGACAAGGTGCTTGTCTCGCGCGACGTCGTGTTCAACGAGAAGGCGACCTAGGACTAGAACAGTCCGAGCACGGGGGAAGCTGGCGGCTTCACCAGCACCTTCGTCGTCGAGCACTTGGTCATCCACGGTGGTAGAGACGCTGGGGAAGAGGTGTCGAGCACTCTAAGAGGGGTGCCGAGCACTCCAGCGACAGAGCCAAGCACTCATAGGGAGGTGCTGAGCACTCTAGGAGTGGAGCCGAGAGGTCCTACAGTGGTGGCAACCACTCTAGGACGGGTGCCGAACACTCCCATAGCGGAGCCAAGGGGTCTTGCAGTGGTGCTGACCACTGTAAGACGGGTGCCGAGCACTCCTGGAAGGGTGTAGACCACTCCAGGAGTGGTGATGAGCGGTCCAGGAGTAGTGCCGAGCACTGCATCCAGGGTGCCAAGCACTCCAGGTGTTGTGCCGATCACTCCAGTGGAACAAGGAACTCCATCAACACTGATTGAGTTCGCCTCACCTCCAAGTGACATCACTGAGTGTGTGGATGCCTTCCACGACGGTGAGGAGGTGCGATTCCATAGGCTGGACGACATCGACGGTGGCACAGGGCCCTCAGGCCTGGCGGGTCGGCTGCTCAATGACCCAGAGCTGCTGCTCGTCAGTGCAGAGGAACCACCCACGTTCGCGCTGGCCGAGCGCGATGGAGATTGGCGACAGGCGATGCTGGAGAAGATGAAGGCGATCGAGAAAAACAAGACTTGAGAGCTCATCGATCCACCTCCAGGATGTCGTCCGATCGGCCTGAAGTGGGTGTATAAGGTCAAGCGGGACGAGCACACGGCGCCATTGTCAAGCACAAGGCATGACTCATCGCCCGAGGCTTTGTCCAGCGCGAGAGCATCGACTTCGAGAAAGTCTTTGCGCCAGTAGCGCGTATGGAGTCTGTTTGTTTGCTACTAGCCTTGGCAGCAGCGAAGGACTGGCGCATCTATCATCTAGACGTAAAATTAGCCTTCCTCAATGACAAGCTGGCGGAGATGGTCTTCGTCAGACAACCTCCAGGTTTCGTCGTCAAGGGAGCGGAGCATAGGGTGCTCCGACTGCGCAAGGCGCTCTACGGGCTATGGTAGGCCCCATGAGCGTGGAATGCCAAGCTTGACGCCACGGCTGGCGAGCTTGCTTCACGAGGTGCGCAACCGGCACACGCTCTACACACGGTGACTAGGGAAGGAGGAGCTCGTCGTCGGCGTGTATGTGGATGACTTGATCGTCACCGGTGCACGTGCGGAGGACATCGATAGCTTCAAGCGCGAGATGGTGGCTCATTTTGAATGAGCAATCTTGGGGCGCTCTCCTACTATCTCGGCATCGAGGTGAGACAGGGGAAGGAGGCACTTATGATCGGTCAGAGCACGTATGCCTCGAAGCTGTTAGAGCGGAGCGGTATGGTGGAGTGCAAGCCATGCGTGACTTTGATGGAGGAGCGGCTGAAGCTGACGAAGGCTAGTACCGCGACGAAGGTAGATGCAACACTCTACCGGAGCATCGTCGACGGTCTGCGCTACCTAGTCCACACGAGGCTAGACATTTGCGTTCGCCGTGGACTACGTCAGCCGCTTCATGGAGGATCCCAGAGAGGATCACCGGGCTACAGTGAAGCGGCTATTGCGCTACATCAAGGGGACGGTGGATCAAGGGATCGTCTTCCCCAAGACCGGCGGAAGTAGGCTGCAGTTCACTGTGTTCAGCGATGCAGACATGGCGGGGGACATCGACGGACGGCGAAGCACCTTTGGCGTGCTCGTCTTCCTCGGGTCGGCTCCAATCTCATGGCTGTCGCTGAAACAAAAGGTGGTGGCGCTATCTACGTGCGAGACAGAGTACATAGCGGCGGGCACAGCGGCGTGCCAAGCTGTGTGGCTACGCCGGTTGCTGGGCGAGCTGACCGGTGTGGAAGCTCACCCACCAGCACTGATGGTGGACAACCAGCCCGTCATCGCCCTCGCGAAGAATCCGGTTCTCCACGACCGGAGCAAGCACATCGACGTGAAGTTCCACTTCCTCAGGGACTATGTCGATGGAGGGCAGATCGTCATCGAGTTCGTCGAAACTGGTCGGCAACTCGCGGACGTCCTCACCAAGCCGCTTGGCCGTCTTCGACTCACGGAGTTGAAGGAGATGATCGGCATAAAGAGGGCTCAAGGGTTAGCAGTAGGATTAGAGAAATAATTATTAGATAATCTACTGCTCCCTTGTGTGAACACACGGCAAGGGAAGACGGCGCCGAAAAGGTACCCTGCTATGGTACCGTAGCCGCTGCAAGGGCAGGCATCGAACGGCTCACCTGCCGCACTGTAGCCACAGCAGGGGCAGGCGTCAGAATCAACCCTTACTATCTCATCTAGTCACTATAGTAACATAACAGTTGTATTAGACTAGATGGATAGAGTTGTATATATAGTTTGCCACTGCAACTCAGTAAAGAGAGAGTTTAGATTTGTCATCTCCTATACAGAGCTCCGGCTAATGCTGGTGTCTCTGCTGTGTGTGTATGATCTATTCTCCTTCACTTCTTTTACTTCTAGCTATAGTGTATGGTCGGACAATATTAGTCACGGTCGATAAGACTGATGAGTGATCGACTCACCCGAACCGGTGATCTGTGGGCAACAAACTGCACCGGCCGGAGGAAGAGGACCGGAAAAGGGAGGCCTGCAGCCGGTTGGCGCCTGAGTGCGCCATGCCATGCCATGCGCTGCAGCGGTTTTTAAGCGTTTTAAAGGTGAGGAGATGAGGTGACGAGAGACGCCATGTGCTGCAACTGGACTACAGGAGTGGGGTCTGTGGAGTCTCCCGGCCGGTGGCCATCCCCAGCCCCCAAGGCCCCAACAAACCTTGTGCCGAATGCTGGTGGCTGGCTAGTGCCGTCTGTCGTCTGTGCAGCACCCAATGACCCAACTGCCAGTTGCTCGTTGCGCAAACGTTATTAACAACCACAAGTGGCACTGTGGCAGGGCCACATTCACACAGCCACATATATATATATGCCTTGTGTGTGTGGCGTTCTGGACTTGCATGGCACTGCACAGAGAAACGCTAAAGCGGTGGTAAGAGAATATATAGTGAGATAGTGCGAGAGAGCAAGAAGAGGCACATCATGGAGAGAGAGATGTCTGCAGAGTATGAGCTGAATGAGATAGATGCTGCAGACACCTTGCATGGCTCTGTGGGGAGCAGGCTCTCCCTGTTTGCGAGGGAGCTCAAGTCGAGGAGAAGCAGCTGGCACAACAGCAGCGCCCTCAGGCTTCCACAAAACTTTTGCTATGGCAGCTTCGTCATACACCCTAATGGAAGGTATGCAACAGACTAAGAGTTTTTTTTTTCTCGATCATTGTCCCATCTGACGTCTCATCCGTTCAGCACTTCTGCTTCAGCTCATAGATGATGATGCTAGGACTAGGTAGCTAGGTAGCAAAATATGAAGGTGCCGATGCATGCAGAAGCAAGTCTCTAATTGCACGTATATTGATCAGCCAGCCAATCAGAGAACGAACTTGTGCATGGAATGAGATATGTTCCTGATTAAGACAGGAATCATGCAGTGGAGGGTAGCTGGCTAGCTGCCTAACCGTCGTTGCATTTCACTTTCATTCAGATGATGCCAGTGTTCTTGATATATTAGCTGCCTGATCTCTACTATCTCTATCTGCTGCACACAGGTGGTACAGGATCTGGTCGAGCGCGATGTTCCTGTGGTCCATCTATTCCACCTTCTTCACCCCCTTCGAGTTCGGCTTCTTCCGGGGCCTCCCGAAGCACCTGGTGGACCTCGAGTGCGTGCAGCTCCTCTTCCTCGCCGACGTCGCCGTCCACTTCTTCCTCGCCTACAGGGACGCCCACACCTACCGGATGGTGTACGACAAGCGCAAGATCGCCCTGCGGTGAGGCAGGCTGGCCGGACGAATGAGCTCGGGCACCGTTCTTTTCACAAAAATACAATGGACCTAGTAATAGCATGCATCTCTCTTTCTGACAGTGCCTCTGAATTTCTGATTTGTGGTGTTCTTGCGCAGCTACATCAAAGGAAGCTTCGCTCTTGACATCCTCGGCTGCTTCCCATGGGATTTCATATACAAGGCGACGGGAAGGACGGAGGTGGCGAGGTGCCTGGTGTGGCTCCGCCTGTACAGGGCCCGCAACATCCTGGCCTTCTTCAAGCGGATGGAGAAGGACATCCGCATCAGCTACCTCTTCACGCGGATCGTGAAGCTCATCACCGTCGAGCTCCACTTCACGCACACCGCCGCCTGCGTCTTCTACTACCTCGCCACCACGCTGCCACCGGCGCGCGAGGGCGGCACCTGGATCGGCAGCCTCACGCTGGGGGACACCAGGTACATCAGCTTCAGGGAGATGGACCTGCTCACCCGCTACGTCACCTCGCTCTACCTCGCCATCGTCACCATGGCCACAGTCGGCTACGGCGATGTCCATGCGGTGAACACGAGGGAGATGGCCTTCACCGTGGTGTACATCTCCTTCAGCATCCTCCTCAGCGCGTATCTCATCGGCAACATGACAGCGCTCATCGTGAAGGGATCGAAGACCGAGAGGTTCCGGGACAAGATGACCGACCTCATCAGGTATATGAACAGGAACAAGCTCGGCGCCGGTATCAGGTCCCAGGTGAAGGATCACCTGCTGCTGCAGTACGAGAGCAGCTACACCAGGGACAGAGTCGTCGACGACATCCCGGTCGCTGTCCGATCTAAGGTATCTATCCACTCTTCGTACCAGAGGTATATATGGCCAAAGACCAAGAGAGCTTCATTTTTTTTTTTTTGAAAATATGACAGGAGCTCTGCCTCTCAGTTAAGATAGGAATAAGAGTTTATGTACAGAATGGCCGAAGGCCTAAGGGTACACCTAGAACACTTTCTCCGCTAGTGTGTTGAACTTGTATTTTGTTTTGCAGATGTCCCAGACACTGTATCTGGACATGGTTTCAAGAGTGCACCTGTTCAATGGATGCTCGGAAGACTTCCTTAGCCAGATTGTAAGATTTATTTGCCGATGTAGCAGAAGCTTCTTTGATTTCATTAGTCATACAATTAGTGCACGCATAGTATATTCATTCAAATCCTTCCACTCATGGTTTCAGGTGGTAAAGTTACATGAAGAATTCTTCCTCCCTGGGGAGGTTATCTTAGAGCAAGGCACTGTGGTGGATCAAATTTATATTGTGGCACACGGATGCTTGGTACGAATTGTCAACAGAAATTTACAACCATAGTTCTATTGTTCATTTTTCAAGAAAAAAATACATGAATTATGAGAAAACAGAACTGAGCTTTATCACTGCATGAGCACAAACAACTAACCTTCAGTCATCCTATATATCCCCGTTTGTGGCTGTCGCAGGAAGAGGTGGCCACTGGAGAAGGTGGATCAGAGGAGATCATCTCAGAGCTCCTGCCCTACGACATCGTCGGCGACGTCTCCGTAGTCTGCAACGTTCCACAGCCACACACAGTGAGGGTCTGTGAGCTTTGTAGCCTCCTGAGAATCGACAAGCAGTCCCTGACCAGCATCCTGCAGATTTACTTCAAGGATAGCCGTCAGATCTTGAGCAACCTACTCAAGGTAAGCATGTCAATCAAAGGGAGTAATGTTTTCGCAGCCCGGGCCAAAATTTAGCTGAAAAGAATTTGTTCTGTAGGGGCGAGCAACCGAGCACAAGGGGAAGCAGCTGGAATCAGATATCACTTACCTGATATCAAGGCAAGAAGCAGAGCTGGTCCTTGGAGTGAACAATGCCGCTTACCATGGAGATTTGTTCCGTCTGAAAGGACTGATCAGTGCAGGAGCAGATCCGAGTAAACCTGATCATGATGGAAGGACTGCTCTGGTATGTGAACTCTCTCATACAGTAATACTATTCAGACTTCAGAAGTTCATTTTCACTGAAAAAACTGAAACGTGAAGCACATTTTCCTTTCTGAAAATATGAAGTATGGGCTGGCTAGCAGCTAGCATAGCTTAAATTATTTCCTTTTGTGAATAACCAAGTGTAAAGACATATGTAACTTCAGATTTACCAAAACCTCTCCTTACAGCATGTTGCTGCGTTAAGAGGATATGAAGATATTGTCAGGTTCCTAATTCAGCGAGGAGCCAATGTCAACAGCATAGGTATGCAGGAAAAATGTTCATTGCGACCATAAATATATACATGTTTTGATAAACAACCGTATCTGAAACTGCAGATAAGTTTGGGAATTCACCGCTATTGCTAGCGCTGAAATCAGGCCATGAGAGGATCACCTCTCTCCTAGTGAAGCACGGTGCAGCCCTGAACCTAGAAGATGCCGGAGGGTACCTGTGCAGGGTCGTCACGGACGGCAAGATCGACCTGCTCAAGAGGCTGCTCAGGTTCGGCGTCGCCCCCAACTGCAAGAACTACGATCACAGGACGCCGCTTCACGTCGCTGCTGCCGAGGGCCTGCACCTCGTGGCCACCATGCTCGTAGACTTCGGAGCAGACGTTCTGGCCAAAGACAGGTGCGCAGCAGCATTATGCATGAATTTCACAAGAGTTTCAGAGGAAACCATATGATTCCCGTAGAAAATCTCCGAGATTCAAATGTCCCATACAGGCATACAAATTGTATCGCGTGTTGGCATTGTGCCTCTTTTTTTTCCTTCTCTCGCGAAATGAAATGCGTTCTTTGACTTGACACAGTGACATGACTGCAGGTGGGGAAACACACCGCTGGACGAAGGGCGGAGATGCAGCAGCAGACCACTGGTCAGGATTCTAGAGCAGGCTGGGACTGTTGCAGTCACGCAGTGATCGCTGCTATGATCCAGAAATCTTCATTCTGTGTTCATGTGGGAACAGCTGGCAATGAAATATTCTTTCTTGGTTAATGAAATCATCCGTCTGACCGTCTCCAAAGGCATGTCTCAAATTCTCTGTAGCCGAAAACAGCAGCAGAAATAACGGTTTCCATCGAAATTGGATAAATCTGGACAGCAGATGAAAATAGTCACGTACTGCACCCATGAAACTAGCGTTTTCAACCGATAGTGACAAATGCAACTTCAATGACGAGTGAATTCATTCCAACACGTGACGAGTGAAATTCATTCCAACACCGATACAGAATTCAAGCTATGGATGCACCTTCAACTTTAACAGCATATGATTGTGAGTTGACAGTGTTTTCAAAAAGAGGGGCACGACTGCACAAGCAATACTGCATACATTGTTTTACATAGAAACAGATTTAATCTGAATCCATAAAGTGAAAAATTGAATGGTGTGGCAATTACAATAGCAAATACTTTGCATTCATGTGATATAAATTTGGATAAATTATGACCCGGAATATACAACCCGCTGATCTTTCTCATGTAGACATGACACAAAAGACTACAAAAGCAACTAAATGCAGTAATTTTGTCCTAATTATCCCATATCAGAGTTTGGAAAGGGTTTTGGTTTCAGTTGCAACAAGTTGCTAGCGAACAAAATCTTGTTACACTCGAAACCTTTGGTCAGTTCAGCACAACTAGCTGAATTAATAGAAAAAAAATAGAACAGTGTCAACCGCAATGATTACTATATCAGCATTCAGTCAGAACCGAACCACTCTGCGTCGAGATGAACTTGGGCTTCCTAATCACCTGCTCCAAGCACTGTATGATATCCCCTACCTGGAAATCGTCACAATCCTGAATCACCAGTCCACAGTCGTTACCCTTTTCGGTTGTTTCTGCATCCTGCTTCTCCCGCTTCAGGGACGCACATGGACCCTCAAAGACAACATCTCCGCTCCTCAACAGTCTCATGGTTCCGGATTTGCTGAAGTGGCCATCAGTTATACGGCAGCCAGCAATTTTGATATCCGGCCCTTTTGACTTGCTGTGCCCTTTCAGCTCAAATATGTTCAGAACCTCAGCCTCACCTGAAACCTGGGTTTCAGCAGTTCCCGGTGCCTTCTCCACAATGGCCCTTCCCATTTCCTCAAGGAGGTGATAGATGACCTTGTGAAGCAAAACCTAAAGAATTAACACTATCATGTCAGCTTAATCCATTTACTCAGATGTATACAAAGGTTACATATCAACTGAGCATATACAAACAAAATAAATCAGTTCATGGAACTCCAGTAGTGTGGATAGTGGTCATTGATACTTTAGCAAGTGGAAATACAATGAGACCAACATTCACGACATTCAAAGCAACACATGATGTGAACAACAACAGCAAACCAGATTTGCAATACTTCAACACATAATTGCTTCTTTGTGAAATGATATGATTAGAAATGAAGCATGTTTTCTGGGGAAGACAACAGTTAATGTGAATAAATGCATATGAGGTGCTGAACCAATACAACAAGAAGCAAGCAGATTTGAAGCTCAGGCTATTATTCAAATTCAGAAAGCAATTTCCATGTAAGATTAACTAAAGTTCTATCAATTTGCATACCAAAGAAAGGGAACAGGCCATTCTATGATCAGAACATTACTGTACATCTGTATTACTCGTAAGTACTTGAGTTTTGAATCTACAGACCGCATTGCTGTGTTCAATCCAATGGTAGTTATATCCCCATTCTTCCCGGAGTCCGAGAGATAAATTATCTTAATATCATCTTCCCAAAGGATTCCATAACATCTAAAGATAAAGGTTCATTTGGTTTACCATCGCAAAGGAAAACAGAACATGGATGGTCTAGATTCTAGCATCTGTGCACAAAACCGAGAGTTTCCAAAATGGAAAATCGAACATTTAGCCAAAGATGCACTGAAAGTCTGAAACTCAATGATAGCATAGAACTAAAAGAAACAAAACAAAGTTTCTTGAAGCATATAATCACAAAGCATTAGAAAAGTAGTGATTCATGAACATGGCACCTTTATGTTGGCTCTTGCTGCTGCTTGAGTGATAGAAATAGGTGGACTGTGAATGTTGAAACCAACTATATATGCTCCACATGCTTGTGCCAGGTCAACGTCATGCTGACTGATTGGGCCAACACCTACATGAACAACATTCACGAACACCTGCAGAGAACGTACTATGTATTAACTTACAAACTTCTAATTTTAAAAAGATGGCATCATGTAAACAGAATAACCAGCAAGAGATTCACAGTTGGCACTTGGGAGTTTAACTTAAAAACTGCATAGTGTCATATTGTGTGACACTAACTGCAGAAGAAGGAAATAAGGCATTAAATCTCTACGAGAAAATACCTGTGCACTATTAAGACTTCGTAAAGCATCTGTGACAGCTTGAACACTGCCTTGTACATCAGCTTTGACAATAATGCGCATTTCAACTCTTTCAGGAGCCTCTTCTTTAATTTCTAGCTCTTCTGCCATGCCTTGATCAATCTTTCGAAGCCTGTCTTTCTCCTGCTTCTTCTTCCGCCCCTGACTAAGCATTCTTGCCCTTTCCTCTGAATCAACAACTACAACATCATCCCCAGCCATTGGAAGGCCCCTTAACCCCTCAATCTCAATAGGCATTGCAGGTTTTGCAGACTGTGTTATATTCCCTGCTGTGTCTCTAAGAGACCTAATTCTTCCCCACTCTGCTCCCACAACAATGTGCTGCCCACTAACTAATGTGCCATACTTGACTATAGCTGTTGCCAGTGGACCCCTGCCCCTGTCCACTCTTGCCTCCACCACAAAAGCCTGAGCAGGGCCATCTATTCTGGCTTTCAGGTCCATCATCTCAGTTTGAAGGAGCAAAGCCTCTTCCAATTTATCCAAACCAGATTTTGCTACTGCAGAGATTTCAACAACCTGCACATCCCCACCCATATCCTCCAAAAGTAAACCTTCGGAACCAAGTTGAATTCTGACCCTCTCAGGGTCAGCTCCAGATTTGTCACATTTGTTTATTGCAACTACAATAGGAACATTTGCTGCTTTTGCATGAGACATAGCTTCCAGTGTCTGAGGCATAACACCATCATCTGCTGCAACCACAAGGACTACAATATCTGTAACAGCAGCACCTCTAGCCCGCATGGCACTGAAGGCACCATGTCCTGGAGTATCAAGAAATGTGATAGATGCTCCTGACGGCATCTCAACAACGAAGGCACCTATATGCTGAGTGATACCACCAGCTTCCTTGGCAGCAACAGATGTTTGACGGAGAGCATCCAAAAGCGATGTTTTACCATGGTCAACATGTCCCATTACCGTTACAACAGCAGGACGTGGTTCATTCGTGCCTTCACCAGTGTGCATTCTTCTGGTATTAACACCAAGTTCCTGTGCAAGAAGCATGAAACAGTGGATTCTTATTATAAGAAACATGATTTTTCTAGAGATACTTGAAATGTTACATCATGGCAAAACTTGCCAGAAAAATGCAGAAAATGGAAATATGCAACATAAATGAAACCTGACATGTGCAGGTTCAAATAAAAAAATATGAAATCAGTAGTAATGCATAACTAATTTTGCTATTGCGGGCTCATGGAATAAACCACTGCCACAATCTGCAATATTTCACATTTTCTATATCATTTGAAAGAAAGCACCTAATAATATAAGTAAGCTTAAACTGTTGCAGATGGATTATAATAGAATGGGAGCAAAGGTATAATCTATATTCTATGCTACTAATCAATCTGCAATTCAAAAATAACCAAGTTTGTTCAACGGACCTATCTTTGTGACATAGGATGTAATGAAAAGGAGTGAAGACATATCTAGAGCCCATTTCTAGTATGCTTCAGGCAAAGTTCATGTAATTTGAAGAGAGAAAATTAAGACATACCATAGCAGCCAACTCAGCAAGATCAATGCTGATAGAGTCAAACTCAGATTCAACCTTTTCACCAAGATCTGCAAGTATGCCTTGAAGTGTACTAATATATGCACCAGTTCATTTAGAAAGGTCAAGCAAAGTCATCCCATCAAAAATCTCAACAGTTTTATCTGGTTAAGATTTGATAGATATCTTCGGTTTTGGTGCAACATAAGGTGCTTCTACAGGAGGTTGCGTTCTATTTTCTTTCTTCACTCGCTTCTCCCTTTTGGGAGCTTTCAGACCTACAACATCCTCCCTTTTCCGACTCCATGCTAACATATAAACACCTGCATGAAAATTCCTATAAAGAAGATGGTATAGTCACCTGACATATGAAACCTGAAATCCACATAAAAAGTAACAGTAGCAAGAATCCTAGTAAAATGGTGCCTAAACTTCAATGTTAAACGATTATACAACATCAACTGTTTCAAAATACAAACAAATAAATGAGACTAGAAGGACAAAGAATGAGACGAGCAAACTATGAAATCTGAATTGAGTAGTTACCAAGGAAAATAAATTGTTCATTTGTTCAACCATAATGTTAATCATTGTGATCCACATTTGTTAAATCAGAACAGTACCCTATATCATAAACTCAAAGGTCGGTCATCAGAAGACAAGAAAAAATATTCATGTTTAAAATATACCATCTAAGTCAATTCAAAATACAATCAAGCATCATGTCTTGAAGTCCATATATCCAATCTACCTATAAGTTTTATCTTTAGAGAGATGTTAGCTTCAAACCACCCAACAATCTTCATGATCTAAAACGATCAAAAGTTCACATCCATGTGCTCATGAATCACATATATGATTTTTAAGAATCAGAGATAAACCAAAATATGAAGAAGCACTACCATCACATGTTTTCAGTATTAACAAGTGTGGTGGAATTCACATACTTATCTAGCACCAAATAAGATATTACTAGTCACAAAGAACGTGTCAACACAGCATCTATATAAATCAATAGTGAAATTTGAACAAAAAAGGAGCTTCACCAATGAGTATCACATCAACTTAGTTTCTAAATTTGTGGTCACATGAAAGGTCAAAGTGTCAAACAATATGAGATGCAAATTGTTGCATACAAAAGTTGCAGCCATCAGGCACCGCTCAGAAGTTTGGAAGATTAACAATAAAGTCGAAATAAGTTTCGTCCACAGAGACGATTGCTGATGGATCTAACACACTTTAACCCTTTTCTAATAGAACCAAACAATTATTTGAAATACATGTGTTGGATGCTTCAGGTATGTCTTGTATAGTTGCAGAACATGTATAGGTAGTCATGCAAAGCACATATACAAACGTACCTGATAGTGAAAAGGTTAGAGGGCATACAACTAGCAGCACGTTTGGGCCTATCACCGCGGTAGACCTCTGCATTTTGGAAGCCAAAGCAGATGTAACTCCAATCCATAACTTTATGAGAGATTTACACTGAAACATGACAATGAGAGCGAGACTATGATCAACTTACGGGCCAGATTTCCGATTGTTCCACTGGAGAAATGCTTTTTGACCCCATGATCCTTAGGGAACGCCAAATTCACAAGACTCGTGTGAAAATCCTGCAATACGCAGATGTCAGCACAGATGCTACAAGAGCTTATTCCTGGAAAAAATCGAAGGGAAAATCGGGGCTCCGCACGCGCAAAGACCAAGCCCTCAGCAATTAGTTCACATCTTACCTTCCTTCGCAGCATCCGCCACGCCATTCCTCCGGCCCCGTCGGCACCGACGAGCTGTAGCCCGAGCCCGGAGGCGTCAGATTCAGGAAATCGAGGGTCACGCTCGTTGGCTTGGTCTGGGGACGCCGGGGTATTGGAGCCGGCGGTGCTGTACGGGCGAGCGGCGGCGCGAGCGAGCGCTGTGTGGGAGCGGCGGCGGCGGCGTGGGAGAGGACAAGCACGATGTGGGAGAGCGGCGACGCAGGCACCAGGGCGGGCAACGGCGGCGTGGGAGAGGGCAAGCGCGGCGTGGGAGAACGGCGGCGTAGGCACCGGGTGCGAGCGGCGGCGGCCTGTGCGAGCAGAATAGCTCGAGCGGTCTTGGAAGAGGACCGGAGGAGAGAGATGATGCGGGTCGTATGGGCCTAGCCCAAAACAGTGTCTCCCTCATTTTTTCGTAAAAAATATTTTAAATTTGTTTAACTTAATCTCAAAAAATATGTTTGACTTAATTATAACCAATATTATGATTAATTGATGCAAGATTATGTACAATCAAGCAGGGGCACTTTAGACATTTGGTACAGTATCTTTTGTAATTGTAAAAGTTACTTATGTAAGATTGTTGCTTGAAATTTTTAAAATTTTTAGACACGTGAAATATAGCAACTTACAAGCACGGGCTAGGTGAAAACATTTTTCAGATTAGGCTTCTTCCCCCCCTCGAGTGCGATGAACGGATAATGCCAGATCAAGAGAGTATATTTATATCTATTCTCTAATATTGAAAAGAAAAAATTCTTTTCCAGATGTTGACCCACCACTCTCTTCCGCTAGGTGTATCTATCCACTACCTCGAGCATAAGAATTCTAGTTGATTTTACTCGACGAAATAGAAATAATAGAGTTGACCCATGTGTGATCCAAGCTCATTTCCCGTGCTCATGTAAGTTAAAATAGTACATGTCCAGCTACATATAAAGTCCGATTCTAAGACATATTGTTAGAACATATAATGTAGTCATGTAGAGTCTAATTCTAAGACGTACTGAGCATGCGATGCAGGCGATAATGTTCTATTGCTCCGTACATAAAAAAATGGAAGGAGCATGGTTTCTGAAAAGACCAGGCATCTCTCTGACTTGGACCGTAGGAACCACATCGAGATAACGGCACGCAACTACGCAAGAAATGGGTCATTACCATTTACCAGAAACGACTACATTACTCGGGGAGAATTTTGACGTTTAAGAATCCATTAACACTAGTGCACTACAAAGAGCAGCTGCGGCTACCAGCCTACTAAAAAGTACTACTAAGCAGGAGTAACAACGACTACGACCAGTGAGATGGAAGCGACTGGTGGCCCAGGTGCTGCCGAAACAGCAGGAAACGCCAACCCTCCCCAGTCGAATTGCTTACTATCCTAACTACATCAGGCAGGGGCGACCGCGACCCATGCTCACTCTCTGCTTCTCTTGTTGCTGCAAGCGGGGCACTTATACTGCTTGATGTAGTCTGCCTTCGCAGGTGTGATGCGGACACAGTCACCATGGTACCACTTCTCGCAAATGTCACAGCCAATCCAGAATTCTTCATTAGAATACCTCCCTCCACATGTACCGCACAGGTAAGCTTGATCCCTGTCGCCTCCATCTTCTTTCATGATCTGTTCCTCCTGCTTTGGCGGGGGCTGCTTTGCTGGCTTGCTGTTAGAATTGGGTTTCTTGGATGGCAGGATTGAAGGGAAAATGCATTATCAGAAATCAGAAACTTGTGCAAATAAGAGCAAGAAACAAAGAATGTTATGTTGAGCTTATGTGCTAACCTTAGAACTTGACTTGGTTTTGCCGTTTGAGCTGGGGGCTTTTGGTTGCTTCTTCCCACTTCCTGTCACAACTTCAAATACAGTGGGATGATTATTGATCATCGTGTAGAGCCGTCTCCTGCAATTCAAAATCCAATGACGAAGACCATTGTCAGATTTCCCAATAACCAGAAGCAAACAAAACAGTGACAATCATTTCCCTGGATGGGAATGGGATCATATGTGTATGTATCATGCTTGTGCACCATTCTACAAATATCATAGGCAAATTCCAGATTCAGGAATAAATATTTGTGTACAATGAATTGGTCAGCGGAAGGGCGGGCCTAGTGCAAGCGATAGAGTCTTACCGCCTGTAACCGGAAGGTCCCGGGTTCGAGTCGCGGTCTCCTCGTATTGCACAGGCGAGGGTAAGGCTTGCCACTAACACCCTTCCCCAGACCCCGCACAGAGTGGAAGCTCTCTGCACTGGGTACGCCCTTTTTTTTTAATGAATTGGTCAGCGCCTTGTCAGTTTTCTAGTTTAGGGCTAATGCAGGCATGTTGATCCACCAACTAGCCTTTCCAATTACTGGTAATGCCCTAGACTCACAGATCTAATCCAACTGGAACCAACACACAAGTTATAGAAAAATGTTTCTGAATGACATTGACAGCCTGAGAGGCATCGTAACATGTGTTCAAGAAAAAAGAAAAAAAGAAGCATGTTGGCAAGCAAAGGAAGAATTCTCTGAAGCAAATATATTAGACACATGGAAATATCAAATTGAAAGGGTAAACTTTAACAAAGAAATTGAAGACATTGGAGTGGAAACTATGACCAGACCTGGCGTCTTTATCAAATCCAAAGCGAGCCCCAAAGTAAAATGCCACAGCAATCAACCATGCATCACTGTGCACAGCTACCAGCGAGAGCCAATCTTTCTCTGGCATTCCATCACGAGCAAAGTTTATTCCCAGTGCTGGCTCTGGTAGTTCTGGAGGAACTTCCTCAGCAGGAACGGTAACTTCCCAGGTTTCATTAGATAGTCCATAGAGGCACAAGTTTTCCTTCTCTGGCAAAAAAAGGACACTTCGAATCAGCATTATGGCCACAGAGAAGACAACATGGCTCATTCAATGACACTTTTGATAACACAAAATGGCACATAATGTATAAGAATAAAGTAGCAGGTTGATTAATTACCGCAAGCAAGCAAGCAAGCATGTAGAAGTGGATTTTGCCGGCGCAGACAGAACAAGTAACAAGTACATAATACTCTCTCCATTCCAAATTATAAGTCATTCTAACTTTCTTGGAGCCAAAGCATCTCAAGTTTTACCAAAATTATAGAGCGTATTACAAAGATTTATGACATAAAATAGGTATACTATGAAAATATAATTAATAAAGAATCTAATGAGAGTTGAGTTGGTACCATAAATGTTATTATTTTATTATATAAATTTGGTCAAACTTGAGATGATTTGACTCTCCAAGAAAAATGGAATGACTTATAAATTGGGATGGATGGGAGCATCTTTCTTGCCATAAGCAGCAAAGCAACAATTCAAGAGAAATCAGATAATTCTGCAGCCAGGTACAAAGGCCAGTGCATTTTACCACACCCTGTGGTCAACTGGACCTATACTTTTTTCCCCGATATTCAGCATGATTGCAGTAAGCATAAGTGCAAGTGAAACTAGGCGCTAGCATCTCTAACTCAGATTAACGACGAATAAAAGTCAGATAACGAGTAGAAAAGCTTCATCGTCCTAATCTCCACGCCCTCACTACAGTTGACCTAACTAGTGATTAGACATCATGCAGACACGCAGAACCAAGCATCAGCAATCGATTAACCATACACCACAAAATCCTACCACGACAAGGCGCACTGGAACTTCACCGAGCGCCACAAGAGCAATCCAATCGAGTAATGTAAAAGACCAACACCCAGAAACGCAGTAGGGTTGAACAGCAGGAGACCACCGCATTGTGCACGAATCGTCCCCAGCGGAACAAAAAAAAAGAGAGGCAGAAACAAGCGAGAATACTCACCTGGGTCGCACAACTTGTAGAACTTCTCCACATCTGCGCGCCACGGAAACATCCAAGCAAACGAAACCGTAAGCCACGAATCCCACAGCAAAAACCAGAACGGAGAAAACGACCGCGGGAACAGGAAGGAGGGATACCGGTGGTGAGTGCCTTGAGAATGCCGGCACGGCGGGAGCGGAAATCCGTGAAGACATCCTCGGGAGTGCGCGTGTTCGGGAAGATGGCGGCCGAGCCGGACCCGTCCATCGCGGCCGCTCAGCCGCACTGCAGCTGCCGGGGAGGAGTGGTGGCGGCGGCCGATGCGAGGCTAGGGTTCAGGCGGAAGAGGATGAGGAGGCGGTGTCGGAGGTGGTGGTGGACTGGTGGTGGCCTGGCGGGGGCGGAGTTGCGGAGAGGGTTAGAAGTTCGGAACCGGGTGGGGGGAAGCTGAAGGGCTTCGCTGTAAATTTATTAAGGGCGCGTTTAGTTCGACAATCCAAATTTTGACACCACGTAAAAAGAAGATTCTTCATCACATTAAATTTGCAGTATATACATGAAATATTAAATGTTGATAAAATTAAAAATTAATTGCACAGTTTAATTGTACTTTGTGAGACGAACGTTTTAAGCCTAATTAGTCAACGTTTAAACAATTATTACCAAATACAGACAAAATGTTACCGTAGTTACTGTGACTACAGTAACTTTGCCGCCGCCAAATTCAGGCGCAACTAAACGAGGGTGGTGGGTCTGGGAACTTGCGTCTGACGCAAGCTCTATTTTCGAGTTGGGCCTTGGTTGGACGCTTCTCGGGTCCCACACGTTAGTTAAGCCGGACCGTACTACTGGGCCAGATTCGTTGTCATCGTTTACTACAGTTCGTGTTTTCGTAAATATTGATTTTTTTGTGACTTATATTGATTGATGATTTGACACCAAACAATGTAGATTGGTGGAAAATTTGTTTGTATAACTTTGTCAAAATTTATACAAACATTTTTTTAAAAAAATATCCAAATATTATTTTCTAGAATATTATTTAACTTTATAAAATTCAATAATTTTGTTTTAACTCAAAAAAATGTGAAAACTAATCAATATGTTTTTCTAAAATCATTTCAAATATTTGAATTATTTCAATTATTTGAATCTTATATGCTCCTAAAATATAAAATTGGACCAAATAGGCAAAGATGAAACGTTCATGCAGGCTATGACAAATCCTTGGAAACCACAACGTGAATCACAACGCACCCGTTGTGCAAACTACAAGCAACATTTCCTTGCAAGGTCTCACTTGACCATCAAGACATGCACATGAAATAAAAAAATAATTCAAAATTTGATTATGCATTAGCATGTATCATGGTGTGTAGACTTACCGGACCATAATGCAGACGTTGTATGACTTATCATAATGGAAAAAGTCTATATGACCCCCTGAGATATCTATGGTGGTCTACGTAACCCCCTGAACTATAAAACCAGGTATCGTGCACCCTAAACTTTGGAAAACCGGACAAAAAAAAACCCTAGGCGGTATTGAAAGGTGGTTTTGCTTATGTGTCAATCCATGCTGGCTAGCTTCAACCTTATGGCATCTAGGACCCACCTGTCAGCTTCAATGGGTGAGGTTAGCCCAAGGATGAAATATATTAGTGCAGCCCCACGTCCCCGACGATGACCTCCTGCTCCTGGCGCTCGCTAGCTGCCGCAGCACCACCGCCGGGCGCGCGTACGCACAGCTGTGTCCCCGCCGCAGCACCACCGCCGGCTGCGCGCACGCAAAGATGTGTCTCGCCGCTCGCGCTTGCTGTCATCTCGTGGACGCCTCACCTCCCGAGTCCCGATTGACGCTCCGCTCACGCCTCGCGCCCATGAGTTATGGTCTAGGTCCAGGAGCCGGAAGCCCAGAAGCGATGTGGTGGAGATTTGCATGGATGCATGCATCGTGGAACTTCAAGCTGTGGATCTGTGGACATGCATGGTTTGTTATCTCAGATAATCAGAATGTAGATGCATTAGTTTAGGTGTTGCGTGGTCACCTGTTGTCCCGGTTCTTGCGGCTGGTTGTGCATGTCCTAGAACATCGAGGAAATCTAGCTAGCGCCTGTGTGTATAGGCCTGCATGTACTCATCGTTTGGAAAATCAAGAGAAATCGAGACAAGAGGCCGGGAGAGATGCATACCGCCGGCCACATCTGCTCGGGCTCCGCCGCCCGGTCCTCCGCTGGCTCCAGCAGGAGCGGCACTAATCTGGACGCGGCTCCTCTCCTCCGTTGCGTAGGTAGCGCTCACGGCCACGCTCGTCTGCGGCGCTGGCGACCCCGCTGCCGTCGTCGTTCCGGATGCCGCTCAGGCGTCACGTTCGTCCGTCCTCCTCCGGCCACGCTGAAGCCGGTGCTGACCGCCCTGGCGGTGAGGTCATCGAGGATGGCATAGCAGCGTGAGGACTCAGCAGCTTGCACTGGACCCCGTGCTCATCTGTGACGCGGTAGCGGCACTGGAGGAAGTCACGGCCGTGTTGGAACCGGTGGTGACCATCGAGTTCACGATCTTGGAGCTGGCTTGTAGTCGGCCCGGCTCGTTACGAGCCTGTGCTCCCATAGGTCATAGGTTCACCGGAGCTGACAACATATAAACGTCTTGAGTCTTACTCAATCTAAAAGACTAACCTGATAGGTGAGGGTTCTTCCGCCTTATATGTTGTGCTCCCCCACCATCGCTACACGATGTGGAACTAAACCCCAACAATCTCCACCTTAGTCACACATCGGGTGCCCCCGCCATATGTGACGTTCGAGATTTTTTTATCGGGTTTAGCTTTTTTGATCATGGGCTCTGATACCAATTGTTGGAACCGGTGGTGACCACCGAGTTCATGATCTTGGAGCTGGCTTATAGCCGGCCCGGCTCGTTACGAGCCTACGCTCCCACAGGTCCTAGGTCCACCTGAAGCTGACAACATATAAGGCCTTGGGCCTTACTCATCCCAAAAGACTAGCCTAATAGGTGAGGGTTATTCCGCCTTATATGTTGTGCTCCCCACCATCGCTACACGATGTGGGACTAAACCCCAATAGGTTGCACCCGGCGTCGCGTGCCTTGAGGAAGGCCTCGAGGAAGTGGATCTCCGTGTCGCGTCTCTCTCGCCGCTGGCGGCGGCGGCGGCGCAGAACACATAGGGGCATACGGAGCCGGGCGCCCGCGACGCGACATCGCTGTAGCGCCACCCGAGGTGGTCGCAGCACGAACACCATGATGCCCTTTGCCCACGGGCGGCAGGTCAGGGCGGCGGCCTGCGGCTTCGGCGCGAGGAAGGAGGAGGGGGGCGGGTCGCGACAAGAGGGCCTAGAAGGCAATGGCGTAGCATCCGGCCGCGCCGAAGGAAGGATCCTCCTAGAGCATCCCATGGACAGCGGCGTGGGGTCGTTGAGGACGGAGAGGGTGAAGGCGACGACGTCCTCTCCGGCGGCCTTCACGAACACCAGGCGCTCCGTAGAGGAATCCACGAAGAGACGGTCGGACGCTGTGTTGGGGAGCCAAGGGACTGCACCAGGGGTCCGCCGCCACCCTGACCTGCCTTTCTATGTTGAAGTGCCACGTAGGCAAAACCAGCCACCAAAACAACTCCAAGGGGTCAATTAAACGGTTTAGGAAACTTTAATGTGCTTGTTAGACGGTTTTAAAGTTCAGGGGGTGAAGTAGCCGCAGTGCCAAAGGTGAGGGGGTCATGTGACTTTTTTCTATCATAATCCCAAACTGGCGTCTGCAACTTACCCGACAACTCAGATAGACACGATTGCTTTCGTCGTCATCGACTCGACGGGCAACGTGAACGCGCCCACATGAAATATTTGGTCGTACCTGCGAAATGGTGACACCACGAGCATAGTGTGAGCTTTCAGGCCCCTCGATCAGGTAAGTGGTTTTAGTGATTAACGACAATTTTTATTTTATGACTAACGTGTGTGTTTGGAGTAACATATCTTATGTTGGGCCACAAAGCATGAACAAGAAGTGTCCTCAAATTATGATGATAAAAGGAATTGAGGATAACTTGATATGTGTGGCTAATGTATGGTTTGGGGATCAAGTGTAACGTTATGCCATAGTGCATGAGGATAACTTGATATGTGTGGCTAATGTATGGTTTGGAGAATCAAATGTAACGTTATGCCACAATGCATGAAAATGAAGACATCCCTAAGAGTTTATGGCAAGACGATCAAGAACTCATGATTGAAGACGAAGAACAATCAAGAGTAAAGCAAAGCTATATATGACTTAAGATTAAGGGCAAGGATCACAGATGCTGTTGCAAGTGAGGACTCAAGACTAAAGACCTTCAAAAGTTAGGTGTAAACTTCAAGAAGGGAATTTGAGTGTGCAAAGCTCAACCTAAATTTCAGGATGCATGGTGGTGTAAACTTGATGAACAAATGGTCTAGAGGAATCCAATGAAACAACTTTAATTAGAGTACGTATGGAGAAGTTAAAGGAGGAAATACAAACATCGGACAATCCGGTGCTGACAGAAACGAACTCATCGGACAAAATGTAAATGTGTCCGGTGAGTGCTTTTGTGTGAAGCGCATTGTTGAAGAAAACACAGAGGTGGAATGGAGTTGTGATCACCGGAAATTGCTAGAGGTGTGTTGACTGATGAAGGTTGATTGTGCAAATGTGTGCAGCTGGTGGTATGTCTAATAGATTTCGACCCTATTGCCACTTAACGTCATTTGCATCACCACAAATAGTGTTATAATAGGGGTTTGTTTTGCAACATTTGTCCAAAAAGATGGCAAAAGGGGATAGTGTTGCCACAAAAATAGTGCATTGCATTTTTTACGTTTGGCGTTGCAAGAGGTGAGACCTATAGCAAACCTTTTTTGAAAAGTGTTGCTATTAGTTAATAATATTGCCATGATGACATTTAGTTGCATTAGTATTGATTGGCGTTACAACTGCCTGATGCTCTTGCAACCAAATATAACAGTGTTGCTATTGCTTGAAATTATTGCCACAGTGTTGTTGGGTTGTGATATTTCTCACGACCATTGCAATAGGTAGAATGTGTATTGCAACTAAATTTCTAAGGCGATGTAATAGTTTGTTGCTATTGCCACAATTTTTGTTGGTTGTAATATTTCTCACGACCATTGCAATATGTAGCTGTTTATTGCAACTAAATTTCTAAGGTGATGTAATAGTTTGTTGCTATTGCCACAGTTTTTGTTGGTTGTAATATTTCTCATGACCAT